GACACACATTCAAAATACATCTAGAAATCTTTAGGCTAGCAGTGCCATTCTGAGTTTTAAAGTCTGAATAGTCGAGTCCATAAACTTACTTTTCAAGCTGCTGTTGTCTATGTTTTTCAAAATGCTGCTTCCTCTTTAGCAATGGCTGAGTTGTCACTGTTTTTTTTTATTCAGCCCGGCTTGGACATCGTCTACCTAGATGCAAATAAGCACTGTGCGAGCAGAAGCTCACCAGTCACTAGCTCTTGCTCTGGAAATGTTGCGTTCTACAAACTGATAGCCCATTTGGTTCTTCCTCAGGTGCAAATGAACGTCCTGGCATTCAACAGGCAGTTCCACTACGGCGTGTTCTACGCATACGTAAAGCTAAAGGAACAAGAAATGCGAAACGTTGTGTGGATAGCCGAATGCATCTCCCAGAGACACCGGACAAAGATCAACAGCTACATTCCCATTCTGTAAGGTGATGTGGAGGCCCCAAGTGCAGACGAATCATGGATGTTAAGGGAAAGTTACCAAGGAAAATAAAAGAAATCTTGCTACATTATCTAGGTTAAGTCAAAGTGAGCCAGCTTGGGCCTTTGTGAATTGTGGAACCCCCCAGAAACCCAGCGACCCAACCCTAAAGCGAATCAGTTCTTTGTTTTGGGCAGTTAACGCTGGCTTCCACATTTACGTCTCATTACTCACCAGGCCTTATGCATTAATTTTAATTAGCCAAGCAGTACTTTTCATTTTCCTGTTTGATCATGTTAAACATCAGATCTAATAAAAGCGTTCTATTCTTGGTTTTCCAGGCATCTCCATGGGCCCAAATATGTACTTTAATTTTTAACTATCTGTTCCTACCCTAGCTCTGCAAAATTCTGAAGCTGGCGTCGGTCAACATGGACCACAAGTGACGGCAAGGACTGCGTTTGTTTTCCAGCATGCTTTGCGCTGGGGCTTAGAGAATCCTGCACAATTGCCTTGATGTAAATAGCACTGCTGATAATGAACTAGTTTCTCCTAAATTTCTTCAAATTAAAAAGTCCTTTATTGTGGTTCCTTCATATTTTAACTTGGAAATGACCATTGATTGTTGTTTTAATCATTCAGTAGCTACAGGCGCAGAGCCAGTCTGCAGAGTACGCGTTCTCCATAAAACTTCAATAGAGCAAGTGCATAGAGCTACCCAGAAAAAGAAACATCAACAAAACACAGCTTAAATTCTTTCTTTAAATATAAAAGAAATCTGTATTTTTATCTGTAAATATCAAACGTGTGTACATATTTTGAAAATTCTCTCTCTCTCTCTCTCTCTCTCTCTCTCTCTCTCTCTCTCTCTCATTGTTGTTATTATTGTTGTTGCAATACCAGGAATTGAACTCAATTCTTTAAGTTTGCCACTAAGTTACATCCTCAGATGTTTTTATTTCTTGTTCTGAGGCAGGGTCCTGTTCAATTGCCCAGGCTTGCTTCCAATTTGTGTTCATCCTGCCTCAGCTTCTCAAGTGGCTAGTATTACAAGCTATCCCTGCCTTACATATTTGAACACTCTTTAATGTGAATACGTGCAGAATTTGGGTGTTTAGACAAAAGATTAAAATTTTATAAAGTCAGATTTTTTAGTAAAATATTTTAGCAATTCCAATGGTAGGGATTTTTGAGCATGAGAAGAAATAATGACTCACTACTAGAAAGAAAGCCAAATGGCCAACCATGCCCCCATGCAACATTCCTAGCCTGTTCTTGAGTCCTGGTACCAGAGGGCCAAGTGCTTTCACAGGCTTCAATGCAGACTTGTCAGCCGGAGTCAAAGCATCCGCTAACCAAAGTGACCCATGGTCAGAAGCTGTCTAGCTCACACTTCTGCTCTGCCCACTAGAACTTAGAAGTCAAGACACTTCCATTCTACATTCTAATCTGTGGGTATGCAGGAGAGGTAGGAACCAAAGACGCAGCTGGGAAAGAAGTATGAGAAGAGCATGGAAATGCTTCTTAGACTAGAGAGAAAGAGAGAGAGGGGTTGAGGGGAGGGAAAGAGAGGGGGGGGAAAGGAGAAGGGGAGAGAGAGACAAAGAGAGAGTGCTCTACACAGGATAGGAAGGGTCCAGGCAAAGGTTGCATTCCTTTTCCCTATATATGAATAGTGAAGACCCTGTTTCCTCAAGAGCGCAGCCACTGTGAGACTATTGTGGAACCTTCCCTGAAACTTCCTCTGGCAAACAGAATGTGCATACACCTTGAAATTTTAAGAACTTGCTTGTAAGTTTCAAGCTTTTAAGCTGGATCTTTCTTCTCCATCATTCCTCAGGGATCTGGCCTTTGAAAACAATTTGGCATAAAGGGCCAAAAAGTCAGATATATAGAACTCTGGAAACCATGAAGCAAAAATTATATTCTTATTTTACCTTATCGAAACTGACCTGTTCACTATCTCTTTCTACCTTGTCCCTAACATTTCAGCTGTCCCAAATAGCCAACTGCATTTGGCCTCAGAACATTACATGCCAATGAATGCATACCCAGCCTTCCTTGCAGACTGCAGCCGATGCTCTCGGTACATCTATACAGTCTTCTAGCCACCACTGCCCTCTCCGACCTGCTGCTCCTAGCCATGCTATCATAGGTTCACATGTTCTTTTTCAGCATGTCATCAGTAGACAGGAACTTATTAAACCTCTAACAAAGTCTTGCATGTAGGAGACCTGTGGTGCACTATGAGATCCAAGTGAAATAGTTGGGATCCTTAGTACATTTTAAGAACATCTAAGAACTACCTTCCTTGCTTTTGTTTGGATACTTTAGGAGTGAGGAACACTGGCTGAGAGTAGGTGGAGGTTTCCATCCTGGAACTGTGTAAGACTGACTTAGGCTAAGTATTGTCAGACCATGAAGAAATCTAATTAACCAGTATGAAGTGGCTCCCTCTCTCCCAGCATGGGGCTTCATTAAAAGTAACTCAAGTTCAAAATTATATAGTTGTTCAATAATCTAAAAAAACAAACAAAAAAGTAACTCAAGTTTACTATCTAAAATGTTAGCAATGTCTCAGACCCATAAAGATGACATGGGAAAGAGAAGTCATAGCTCTACTGTTGGGGCCGGGGAGATGGCTCAGTAGAATAAGTGTTTCCCTGGCAATCGCAAGGACCTGAGTTCAATCCCCGGTTCTGTTAAAAAAAAAAAAAAAAAACCTGCTAGCAAATATATGTGATGTTATCTGAGGGCATCCTTCCTAATGATTTCATCCTTTATGTCTCCAAAGAGCTGAGCCCAGGAGTCTTGATGTCATTTTAGATGACTGCATCGCCATAAAATGTGTAAGACTTTTATATACACAAAAACAAAATGTAGCAATTTTAATAAGGCCCAAATCTCCTTTGCCAAGTAATTTCTCTTTTCTCTCATTCTCATTATTTCATCGGGCCTCCCGTCAATGACCTTTCTACCTTCAGTTGCCTTGCGCCACTGTTCCCATTTGACACCTCTGGCTGAAAGCTTGGTCACTAACTTGAGTTCAGCACACCCCATCCTGCTTTACATGGGCTGAACATGGTGGCTGCTTATGCTTGGGAAGAAGGGATACAAGTAAAGATGTGTATGCAAACCAGTGTGAATAGCAACATATTAAGGGGTGACAGTCCCCCAGAGAATGCACACTTTAAGTATACCCACAAATGTCATTTAAAAGCTAGGATCTTTGACAAAATGCAGAAGTACCTCAGTAACTCCATGGCTTTAGTAGACTTCTGAGATCAGAGAGACTGTGAGCTTGGTAGCACAGCTCGCTGGTGCTGAAAGTTATTTTTCTTTTCCATAAGCAGCAATTTTAGATTTTTGAATAATTTAAATGTTTTTGTGTGTACTTGTCACTTTTTAAAAATTAAAGTGTCTAATTATTTCTCTACTTAGCTATTAATGCTGAGATGCACTGTTCATTGTGTAGGACGCTCACTGTTTTACATTCCTAGGTTGTTTCAGCTTGGGATTGAAAATGATTTTGTTCATGGAAGTATAGAGTGAATATATTTCAGTTTACTGCAGAAACATCCAGGATTTTTTAAATTAAAAGATATTTTAAAAAAATAAGAAGAAACAGTGCTAAGATTTTAATATTGTCCACGATTGGATTTTTTTATGAACTCAATAGTGTACTTTACATTTGCACAGTCCTGCAAGGGTGCATGACTGTGAACTGCAGCCTCAGTGTCCAGATTACGTGGCTGTGTACAAGGACCGCCCCCCATGGTGTAAGCAGGGTATTATACACTGAATAAATCCTGAGAGCTTCAAGTGGCTTTTAAGTAGGTGCCACGCAGAAAAGTTCTTCAAGATTCAATTCAAATAAGGAAACAAGTTGTGGTGCAGGGAATCAACATTCCATAGTTTAGTTACAGAATTTAATATGAATTCTTAAAAGTGACTTTTGTCACTAGCCTGCAGGAATCTGATGAACACAGGACACATTCCTTCAATATTACAGACAACAAACATCCACCCAAACTTTTGCCTATTATATAAAAGGAGCATGGACCTTCTAAAATCCACTCATGCGTGACCTAGGCATATGGGGACTCTAGGCCAGAAGACTCCATTCAGAGGCTGAGGAATGGAAGAAAATCACAGATTAGAAAGTAGAGGATGGGAAAACATTTTACTTTCAAAAATAGAAGCTCTCATACACACTTCTGAGAACCTAAAAGGACATCCTGTTGAGTTGAATAAGAAACATCTAGCAGGAGGACTGTACCTACTTAGATGGACAAGTGCCCCCCACCTGGTACCCAGTCAGTCATGTCAGTCACAGAGGCTGGAGGGTCAATGATAACAACTCGCTCACTCTCATATTAAATTGAAATCATAATAAAAAAACACTTATACTCTAAATCTTAAAACTATTGATGTCTCAATACATTACCGAGTGCTACTGACTTTTGCAAGATTATATGAGAACTCTGTGAATTGGTTAAGAAATTGTGTGCTTTCCTGACACAGAGATGAATAATCAAATGGGGAAAATTACTTATAAGGTTTCATCTTCTATGAAATAGAAGAAAGTTGTGTTCTCATATTCCCCCATGGCACCGAGAAATGAATCATTTCTATCCTTTTAGCCATCTTTTACTGCTTGAAGCCAAATAAAAGTAAGTCAAGTGAAAGAGTAAAGAGTGATTGGGACAAATGTATAACCTCCCCAGTAACTAACTATAAATCCAGGAAGGGCAAGTGGAAATTCAAATCCATATAATCCCCAGAAGGAAGCAAATATCTTTACAACCAGGAAGTAGCCTGCACTATCTTGCATTTATGAGACCATTTTCAGGCACAACTGTAGAGACAGTGATTGAGTGTGAATCAAAAACAGCTGGACACACTGCTGGCCCCCTCTGAGCCACATGGAAACCATAAACTGGCTTATAACAGGCGCGATTTGAAAACACAGGACAGCAATAGCAGGGAGGAAAGGGATGCTTCTGTAAAAAAACAAAGCACAAATCGTTAGCCAGAAATCATCAGTTCAGAGGAAATCTCAACAGACATTGACTTTTTCAAAGTGAGTTCTAGGTTGGAGCCATGAGCATTGCCTGCTTTGAGAGATAACCTAGGGAAGATAAGGAAAAGCACATCTCATTAGTGTAAAAGAGAAGCACCTTGGCTATTTTTAAATCAACCTAATGCTTTGATGTTTTTGTTTTTTCCATTTCTTTTCATTTGGGTCTTTTCCTATGCAATTTCCTAGTGGGATATAATTATTCCAGTATGAACACTAAATTTAAGAAAGAAATAATAGGCTCAGAATAAATAAAATAAGCATTGAATTTCAAGATAGCTCACACATATTATGTAAGCAAAAAGCTTAACCTCCAGGGGATGAGGAAAAGCAACATGGAAGTTATGCTGAGCACCCAAGGGACCCACATCACATGACGGCTACTCCGGAGCTTTACACACAGTTTAAGAAGGCCCACCTCAATCCAGCAAATCCCTAATTGATTATGATCTCTAAAATCTACAAATCTCTGAATATGCTTACGGGCACAAAAACATAGTTCTCCTTTTACTAATTGGAAATTTTAAGAGTGTACTTATTATTTCAGCTGATGTACACTGAAGGTCTATCTTTTGAGTCTTAATACTGCCCACTGCGTAAGCCCCAAAGCCCCAATTTTAGACAAGGAGTTTTTGAGCCTCCACTTAGAAAACATAATAGAAATATATGTAACATATTT